AAAACACAGCGCTCTGATCGTGATTCATGCTAATCACATCATGCTAATTACATCGTGATTCATGCTAATTACATCTATGCCACACAGGGAGTTGGGAAATTATCGCATGCAGGAAAAAAACGGCGGGGCGTCCAGGCGGCACGTGTGGATTAGCAGGCGTCAGATCGCGCTGCTGGGGGGGGGGCAGTGTGTGACCAGTCACATCCCCCCTACCGCACTCCCCGCTACCCCAGCATGCTGAAAGCTGTGGGCATTGCTGCTGAAGTTGTTCTCCCTAACTGGTTCTGGCACCGAGACACACTCTCTCTCTCTCTCTCTCACACACACACGCACCCCCCCGCCCCCCCACCTCCCACACTTTTTCGCTCTGTCAGCACGGACAGCGCTGGCCACTCTGTTCCCCCAGAGAACACCACCCACCCGTCTGCTACTGCGGCGGTGGGAGGACAACCCCCCCCCCCCTTAGCTCAAAGACATCTGGCCCCCCTGTATCCTCATGAGTGGGCTGTCGAGCCCAGCGTGACTGTCATGTGACTGCCCTGAGTGGGGGGGGGGGGGGGCTGCTCAGACTGATTTCACGCTGGCCAGGCGGGTCGGGCCCGAGCTACGCCGAGTGTGGAGAGACGGGAGTGTTTATCGTTTATCGGGGGGGATGCACAACACTGTGGCCGTGTTTACAGCGGCTTTACAGCACGCCCTGCACTGGGGGGGGCAGGGAGAGTGGTGGTGGCCACCCGGGCTGTCCGATAAGCGGCGAGGAGTCACCGGAGGCTGGGGGGCGTTTATGGCGGGGTGCTGGCCCGGATCTCCAGCGTGTTATCTGCAGTAGGTGTGTGTGTGTGTTTGTCTCTTGCATCCCGTTCACACCTCAGCCAGCGTGAGAATGTGGGCCGTGATGCAGCCTAGCCCAGACTGACACACCTTTCTGCTGCTATCTCCTCTTTGCAAGGCCTTCGTCTGTTAACGGTGCGTGTACGAACCCCCCCGAAGACACAACGGCTAATACCGAGAACTGTGCCGTAATACGACTGAAAGCCTTTATTATTATTAAGCAAAAGAACAATATTTTTGTAGAGCTGATTGGATCTGCTCAAGATGGATGGATGGATGGATTGATCCCCAGATTTGGCATTGATTATGCATGTATAGGACTGACCTTGAAATTGGCTGAAAGGTGATCTTGTTTTCTGGTGGATGTATACAGCTTTCAGCTGATTGGCCCCCTGAGTTCCCTCTCCCCTGTCACTCGGCGATTCGCACCGTCTCATTGGATGATGATAATGTCCTGCCGCATCCCATTCAGTGGGATGTCGAATTTCCTCCCCCAATACGTTAGTGACTCCGAGTGCGGATAATGTCTTGGGGTGTCTGCTACGTAAACAAAGGCTCACACAATATAATTAATGCGGCCGCTCGATTCCACCGGGCTGTTATGCAACAGTTAAGCCGAAGACGCAGCCGTTTGGCTGCATCGCTTCTCCCCCGTACGCGAGCTTCACAATCACGCCCCACGTGGGCTCATTTGAAGGCGAATGCGTTGCAGTACAGCCCGGGTCCGTCATTTGCATTTAAATTGTCTGCATAGCTACAGATGTGAGACTCCTCCGTCTGAAGTAACGTTAAGATAAAGAAGAATTGAAGCACGTATTTGTGACCCGTGGCAGTTTACGGGGGCCTTTAATAAAGCTGGTTGCTTAATGTTGTTTTTTTTGAGAGTATAGTGCGGGGTTTGGAATTCAGGCAAAGCGCACGACCTGTTTTTCTTGCGTAATCGATGGTTTAGCGTTTCGACAGGACGACAAGTGGAGAATCTTTGCCGTTTTTGCCAATTAACATTATTAGCAGAGGTAGGGATACGTCGGTAGTTACGGCGGAGGTGGGACCATGTTTTCGTAGCTCATTTGAAGGAGTCGTCTATTCCGCGGATTTGAGGGGGCGGGGTTTCATCCGTGCAAGCTCCCGGCTGACAGGGATTTTAAAATCAACGCGATGTCTCCGCTAAACGCTGGATGTTATTCACTGACATGCCGCACATCTGGCCCCCCTCCCTCTGGCTGACGCCGGAAGGGCTCCCGGGACTCCGCCGATTCACAAATCAGCGGGTGTTTGTCTCCGGAGGAGGAGAGGAGAGGGCCGCGACCACCAGAGGCCGCGGATCTGAGCAGGTCGTTCGCACCGAGCTGCTGAAGGACGTCCCTTCTCTGGTCCTGCTTTTACGTGCTTTAATGCTGGTTTTCTAAATAAGTCTCAGAAAAAAAACAGAAAGCTTCATACTGTTTAAAAAAAAAAAAAAAAAAAAAAACAACGAAATAGGGTGTATGTTCTCACAGTTCGAGAAGCGTATTTGCAGATCATGATTCCACCTGACATCCAATCTCCCCCCCCTCGCCCCTCCACTTGGGCGCTCTCCTGCCCCCCCCCGAAGACGGCATGTTCAGTCACGGTGTAGGATGATGGCAGGCAGTGAGATTTTCTTATCCCCTGTCTGGGTTTGGATGGTTCCTGGATCTGCTTTTAGTGTTTTTGTCTCCGGATGGGGCTGAATCAGGCTTCAGATATGCAAATGTGCACCCAGTAGGACATTTTTTCAGTGGGAGTGGAGCCATGCAGGCAGAATTTACCGGAACGGCTTTGGTCTGGGGCGGGGATTTTGGTGTTCTTCGGTGAAGTCATATTCAGTGCTGACGAACGCAGGTGCTAGTTGTGTTTTTCTTCTTTTATATTTTTTTAAGATCTCAGCTCCTTGGGTAAACGGGCCTCCTTGGCACCGGAAGGTTATCAGATCGCGGAGGTTAATGCGGCTGGATTAAAGAGGCCAGGGTCAGTCTGCGTGGGCCGCCTTAAGGGCACCGGTAAATATCCGGAGACGGCGGCCGCGGCTGTTGGCCAAGCGCGGCTAATCGTTAAGGGGTCTCTCCGGGGCCGTAGCAACCTATTTAATGCGCGACTGTAGAGCTGCAAGCGTCTGCGGGTGGAATACGGCCGGCGAGCCGAGCGCCGAGCAGGGAGCGGGGGAAGCGGGCCTCCCGCGGACAGACCTTCAGCTACTTAACCTGAATCCCTGCCGCTGGAGGGGCAGCTCTCGATAAAGGCTTTGGCTGGACCAATCACCCGCGAGAAGAGTCTCGAGGCGGAGCCACGCCTCCCCGGCTTAAAAACCCCAGCTTGGCAGTGTGATCGTATTAATGGTCATGTGATCATTAAATGCTTCATAATATAGCTTAATGGGATATTCAGTTTAAGTAATAGTGTCCATGTTCCTTCATCTTTGATAGACCTTCTGCTCTCCCTCTTCTTTTTTCCCTTTTTGGTAGCAGGGGGGGGGGCGTTGGCATCGCGGGCAAGCGTGCGCCTCGCTAAATCATACACCCACCACCCACATGGGTCGTGTGCCCGCACCTTTAAATAAATTGCCTGTTTTCTCCCAGTCCCGCATCATTGCCGGGGACGCTTCCACGCTCTGACAGAATTCCTTCAGGCCCTCCGATGGACTAGAAGCGGCCCGTAACAGTTTCCCGTGTCGAGACGGCCGTCATTACCCTCCCGCAGCCCAGAGCGACTCGTACTCCCCGGTCCGTAATGAAACGCTCTCCAGACTCGCACTCTCCATCGGGGTGGGGGGGGGGGGGGGGTTTAATGAAATCTCCTCGTCTTTCGCCTTTTTACCGTCGCTTGTTCAGTCCATTACTGAGCCTGTGTATCCTCACCCCTCCAGTCTCCTCTTCTCTCTCGCCTTACTTTCCGGCACATTCTATGTACTTAGCGGAGCCTCTCTTAAGCATCATTCTTCCATCCGTCCTCTTTAGTGATTCTTTTTCCTCCATACATGCCCCACCCCCTTCCTCCTCTCTCGTGTCTCCCAGATCCCCCCCCCCCCCCCCCCGCCAATCTATCCCGCTCCACTGATCACCTCATTGGCCGTATGCCACGGATCGCCCCCCCTCCTGCCTTCATTTCCAGGCTGTCCTACCTCCGATCCCAGATGCACGTCTAATCTAATTAAGAGTAATATTTACATTACCACTAGAGTCTCACTGGTGTTTTTCTTCGACTCATTAGTTTTTTTTTTTCCTGCACGATGGGGGGATGTCTCCCCCTCTCCCCCCCCCACGTAGACAAACACCAGGGTTACCAATGGAGACGGAATGCGGTTCTGCTGCTCCGCTTGCGGTCGGCCTTTCTGTGGTCATCGGTGCAAAGGGCAAGTGTCTGGCCGCATCTACCGAGACGCGCTGGTGCCCTAAGCATGGCGATCCGGCGAAGAAGGGGTCCGGGGAAGGGCATTGTGGGTAATCTGGAGCGACAAGGCTCAGCTGTGCCGAAGATGCTCGTAACACCTTTACAAATGTTTATGTGATGCTTATGGATGTTATCTCTGGATGTGGCGTTGCTAAGCAACACGTTTAAGGGCCCATCTAGCACCTTTTGGCAGTGTCACGCTTTCATAGATATTAATTAAAACATTCATTAGTGAGGCTTAGATTAAAGGGCTCTGTTTGACATTCTCTGCTAAAGTTGGATTTTCTGAAGGTCGTTTTACGTCATTTCTGGCCTGAAACTTCTGTTCCGTTACAGAAAATGCTGAAAGGCCACAAGCCACAAGGTTGTGGGTTCAAATCCTGAATGTGTGCGTGTGGTGTTTCCTTTGGGTACTCTGGTGTCCTGCCTATTTCCTGCATGCGTACGCCTGTCATTCTGTCCAGGGTGTCCCATGCCTCGTACCCTCTGATTCCTGGGATGGGGTCACAGCGGGTGAACCCCAGCAGGAGGGCTTGGTACAGCACCTTCGGACACCAGCCTGTTAAGGCCAGATCATCATCGTCGTCTTGCTGCCTTGGTGTTCTGGTCCACAGACTCTTGTCTGTCACGTTGTCAGTGATGGTGCCGCAAGCTCTGAACGTGGCATCCTTGGACCTCAGTCACCCAGCTGTGTAAATGATATCCACTGCCTGGTGGCTGAGGGAGAGTGCCCCCTAGGGGCTGAGCTGTGTAAAGGCACTCTGTTTGTTTTTTTCCCTTTAGCTTGTTCCCAGCGAACAAGGGCCCAGTGTTCCCCGGCTCTCTGTAGCTACAGCCAACAGTGGCCCGGCTTGCTTGCCCAGTGCCACATTTGATGTCTTATCTGAGGGT